TACATAATTTTCTTCTGGTGGTGGTTGTAGTAAGACAACATGACTGTGCACGCCCCACATGCTCCCTGACTGCATGCCTCCTTCGTCCCGGTCAAATATACTAGGTCAAATGTCAAGGACACAATTGTTTTGTGTGCATTAATGTTTTCAGCTTGCTTTCTGCTCATAAATGTATATACAGTGTGTACTCGTACATGGATATTAAATCAATCTGAAATCTTTTTTCTTTTTTACATTTTCCACCAACTTTAGGAGACCAAAAGAAATAGAGGACTTACTTGAGATTACATACATGCAATATTGACCTTGAACTTTATGAGTTATGGAATGTACTTTCCGCTTTTCATGTGTTTACTATATATGTAAGATTTTTTAAAATTACATAATTATGTACAACAAAACTGGGAAGGGTGTAATGCATTTTCATTAACCGTGGACATTGAATGGGCTTTTAGTTTCCTTGGTCCTCAGAATAAATCCAAGCGTCGTCCCTCCCCTTCAGATTATAGTGTGATCTACCCCGACGAAAAGGTAATTAAAATAGTGTTGCTTCTAAATCTTTAATTGAATGTGTTACTTCAAATTTAAATGATGACTCTTTACACAATGAAACTATGTATATTACAAATTCTTTGAAATGTTCTTGAGGACTGCAAAAATATTAAAAACGAAAATAAGAAACATGTCTTTCAGATGTCGTATCCACCCATTACCCGATTAATTCTTGTTCTTTTATGAAGGTCCTTCGCAAAAAGGGATCACCTATTTCCTGTTTAATTTGTGCGAAAATCACGTGGTCCATATATTTTTGTTTTTATGTGCGTAACTCCAAAAAAGCACTACTAAATAAACATACAGAGCACGATTGCCAAAGAAACTTGAATTCACTGTCATCAAAAGTTAAAGGTATAGAAAAATTCATAATTGAAAGATTGAAACATGAGGTCCCTCGAAAAAATCTATTATTCTTTAGCAAAAAAAATCACTTGTAAATAGTTATAACTGGATTTTATTATGATGTGGAAATAAAGTGTTTGCATACAGTGGGACTGATTTAGAAATTAATTTTGCCACAAATTCACACCTACTCGGTACCCTGTTACCAACTTATCTATCCTAGGATAACGTGTTTACTATAATTCACAAAGGTGTCAGCCAAAGTGTAAAATATTCAATATAATTTCTCCTATTTTCACAGAAATCTTTTCGATAAAATAATTTTTTCCGTAATTTGGCAATTTTCAAGAGAAGATAGCAATGTTGCAACCAAACCATAAGCAAATAAATATTGCATTGATATTGCATTAATTACAAGGTTAACATTGTTTATTTCAAAACGAAATTTTTACTTAAAAACATCATTACGAAAAAAAATATATAAAACGACTTGGCAAATAGAATAAACTTTTATGAAATGAAATATATAGATTACGAACAGTATCAAGCTCAAAAGTCCAATAAGCAATTCAAAATAAGAGCAGAGCAAACATGGACATCCGAAACATCAGAGGTGGGATCAGGTACATGTACCATGGAGGAGTAAGCATTCCCTGCCGACCGGTCACACCCGCCGTGTGCTCCTTGTCATGATCAGGTAATAACGTAGAAACCCGTCTTCAATTCAGTGTGTAAATAATGGACTAGCAATTAGTAATAAAAAAAACCTCAGTCAGCATTTGACTCAATGATAAATTGTATTTGCTGACAAGGTCATTGTATAGACTAAAGAACTTACGAAAAGATGACTTTGAACGAGACTGCTAATATTCTTGTTTCATCAACATGTTTGTCAATAATTTACCTCGTTTTAGAAATTGTAAATACGTAGAGCCTGCTATTGCGTATCGAAGCAACTGAAATATATAAACTCTCTGTGCAGGTGATGAAGGTATATTGCTGCATAAGTAAAGGAGAGTTGACAATTAAAAAGTTAAAGTCTGGTTGTTAGATTACCATTAACTTTTTTCAAGTTAAATAGTCAAATATGGAACATATGTGTCAGACTGTGTGGTATCTTTTATCTCAAGCTCTCGGGGATATATCGTATGGTCATAAGAATGGAAATAGTCATTGGTAATTGACAATACGTCGTCGATATAAAGGCCATATAAAGTGTTTTCTTCTTTTCATGTATAAGGTTTGGGACAAAGTCTGCTTCATATAAATACAAAAATAGCTTTGCTATTAAGGGAGCGCAATTCGTACTCATGGGAATTCCAATTAATTGGACCAAGTCTCCAAAAGACCACATAGATATTGTCAATCAGAAACACTAGCATCTTATCGATGTCCACATCAGAGTACTTGTGTGTAAAATCAGAATGTTTTAATTATAAAAATATCTTATGAATTTTAATGTTTTTACATTCATGGATACAGTTTCGTCTAAGGTATTGTATCAGCGTCACTTTGGGATCCGGATTTTCAATTGAAACCTGCAACATATACAACAGTTTGCGAATGTTTTAAATGACGATGACTTTTTTCAGTGTTTGCTTTACGTTTGTTTGTGTTTTTTTTCAAAGCCTGTATGAATGGAAAATTAAAGGGAGAGGATAATTTTTTTTAATCTCAAAAAAAAAAAAAATAAATAAAAATAAATATGAATTATTTTTCAAAATTAGACACATATTTGTATTAGAGATAAACACTGGTTTTTACTGTTAGATATTAAATTCACGCTAAGATATTTCACACTAATGGGTAGACAGAGGTTTCTTTGTCATATCATGGTCACATGTACCTATGTATGAAATGTGTTTATTCCAAGATGACTGTGTAATGCTTGCGGTTTGTTTATGTAAGAAAAATTGATTTCTTGAATCAAAATATTATTGTCATGATATTTTTTAGAGATATCAATAGTAAGGCCCATTTTTTCTCAGATAATCTATGCGTTATCCCATTCTATAAAGTAACTAACAACTGTAAAGTACAGTAGTAATCAAACATCATTTTAGATCACAATTCAAATTTAAATCGAGTGGTCGGACATGTGCACCTGTGGTCGGTTCATTACTGTCTAACTGATCTAGGACAGTATATACTGTTGACACAGTGAAACCCTGGCTTCGTTTTAAATGGTCAATACTCTCACGCTTGTCTACAGGGCTCTGATAACGAGCTTTTATATTTTAACGAGACGATGTTGGAAATGTTTATCTAGATTGTGAATGCGGCCTGCTGAAGAATGAGAGACATCCTAATAATGAGAGAAAATATATTTTCTTATTCTCATTGAGTTTTTTTTCTCAGTTTCGAAATAAACCTAAAAGTGTAAGTATAATAAAAAAAAACTACGTGTCTTCCCTTTGAAGAGGTTAAAGAGCCATTTTGAAATATTGAAAATGCATTGAATCAGCAAAAAGTTTGTGTGAATTGTTCTGTCTAAAAAAAATGACCCCATTCAAAAATTACACTTTACTTCATGAAGTAGCAATGTTTACATCTGGTTTACTCAGACGTGTGAAAAATCAATAGCAAACAAAATATTTCTTAACAGATATAGCCTCGATTTATATATTGTACATGTATCTAGAAGATTTAATTCTCTCTACATGCTCTACTCTTTTTCATATATTCTCTGAAATCAGAAAAAGTGAACTTACCCTTTTCCCGTTGACGAAAAACACCAAAGCTGTTGGTTCATCATTCAGATTGTTTTTATATGTTTGATACATCTTGTACAGGTTTCAAAGTTTCTGAAAATCCCTTTATCTTTGTTCTGTACTCCCCATCGATGCAGTTCTAGACTGGAGTTGCGTATTCTGTCACAGCAAAAGTTTGGGTGTTTTCTGAGTGAAGTTTTAGAACATGGCCTTCAACCTTTCACCACCCTGGAATTCTGTTTGATCGGGTGTTCTAGTTATTTTAAGATGTTTTTACCGACCGTAACATAACAATTCTCATTGAATCAATATTTTATGCCTCATTTTTTGTAGGTATGTATATTTATTTATCAACCAAATGGAGAATATTTTTTTTATTTCTTATCTATTTACTTTTTACAAAGAATTAAGAAATTACTCACCGAGTGTATTTACCAAATAAAATCAAAACGATACAATCATGTCATGACATCCTCAATTTATACATACGGATAAGCAGGATATGACATTGGCAGTGACCTTTTATAAATATTTATATATAACCCCCACTTGAGAGGTATTAAAAGGTAGCCATCCTTCATCAGCAACTCTTCTTATATCACTCAAAAACATTACATGACGCCATTCTTATTTTAATTTTTGGTCAGACCCTTATTTCGGGTCTCCCAAGGCAAAACATCTATAGACAACCATTAAAATCACATGGTAGACGGGTCATCATTTAGTGAGCTCAGTACCTCTAGTTTAATGAATGAACTTAATCTAGGCTCCCTTTGAGAGATAGAGAGAGACGGCCTTCTAGAAACTTGTGCAATAGCCCATGAACGAGATTGATCACCTATATTTGGAATTGTTTCTATCGCAGAGTAGAGAAATATGGCAGACACCATTTTGCTTGTTGCATATCATAATAGGTTTACGACTTTGCACGATAGCTTTAATTGTATTTGAATCATTAAGCGGCGTTTTATTGTTAGTTATTACTACAAAGCCTGGGAAAATAAGCTTCGGGTTAGTTGTATACCTGTTACAATTTTTAACATCTTAGTACAGAAAGTTTAAAGAACAATGAACCGGGACATAATAACGCAGTCCCTGGGACATAATAACGCAGTCCCTGATCCGTATATACCAGTAGGTATTAAGGAAACGGCTTAATCCGAATAGTACACTGTCATGTTTATTTTACCACTCGACTTGAATTATTTTAAGGACTTTTGGATTAATATGGCCTCTATCACTTATGTTGATTTCAGGAAAACTGTGCTAGGTAGATGACCGTGTACATTTATAGATCTTTACATTAAAAATTTTCTAATGTCTTTGTTCGAGATGGAATTACAAATAGTAAAAATAATTCATTTCGACATAAATCTATTGGGTGATCGATAGGCGTGGTAAAAAAAATAACAACGTGCGGTGCAGGACAAAGAGACAGAAGCGGGGCTTGTAGCTCGATCGTGTTTTTGAGGAATCGAGAGCATGCAATATAAGGAATAACTGTCAGGTTTTTTTGTTTCATGACGATGATCAATTGCAATCGATTGTTTTGTGTGATGCAAAAAGGCCTTTGGCGTTAATACAAATTATCACGCAAGCCAATCGATTGATCACATCATAAAACCGAAAAAAAATTAGGTATTCCTTAAATAAACATGCAGTTAACATGGCTATACACTCGTGTTTGTGAGCAAATGTATCGTGTTTGTAAACAAATATACTAGTAATAAGGATCAATGTTTAACACGTATTCACAAATGGACAACTTGATTTTGAATGAAATCGCGTATTCAATTTACGCCAAGTTATACACGTGTAAACTGTGTTAGCTGAAGTTAAAACTGTCTACGTACATGTATGTAATTACAGTTTGTCAATAGGCCTAGTAGATTTCCATTGATAAACAAATGCAGTTGAATTCTATGTTTTTTGTCATTTTTTGTGAATTTTGTGTGTTATACCTATTTAAAAAGCAAATAAATAACTGAATAAAATATAATGAAAGATTATAATTTTAAGGTGCAATTTTCGACTGAAAAAAAGCTTTTTAATTTCATTACAAAGTTACACAGCAGAGAGATGAACAGACGCATGCAATGGTAGTTAATTATACCGAGGAAAGGTAAAGGCGAAATACATGTAATAGTTTAATAGTGATATACTATCAGTACACAAAACAAATAGATAAGAAGTGCACGCCATAGATTTTGACTTTGTATTCGTCAGTTGTATAACACAGGAATCCCGAATGGAGAAGACGTCTGCTTTAGTCTTCTTTGTGAACGGGAAGAAGGTAAACAAAGATTTTGTTGATCCCCACATATTTAAACCAGGGTCCATGTCGACCTTTATGTAAAGGACGACTTTTTACTCTACGAAACTTACGAAAGCTGTGAAGAGGCATTAGCCTAGTAGACGTAGATGCTACGACTGAAGTGCTAAATAACAATCATTAAATTATTGATTATTTCATAAATGGTCATTTTAGATGCTATCCTTTTGCGATATGTTTAATCTTATGTTTCTAACAGAGTTATTTTGCAGATGCATATTTGATGTATAAATACATGTATTTTTACTTGTATGAGACGCCATTCCAGTCATTTTAAATTTTCCCAGTAAATGTTGTTTATCGTATGTATACCAAAAGTACAGTGATAGTTAAGTTCTGATTTAAATAAAGCCAAGTGTTCTATATTTAACCTATTAAATTACGTCTTTTGTCATATAATAATTCCTTGTTTTAAATTTTTTTTTATTTTCAAGGTATCCATTGATAATCCTGACCCAAGGGTCACTCTCATCCAATACTTACGGCGTACTTGTATCCTCACGGTGAATAATATACTGGCTTATCAGAGCTTTAAGTGTTTACATTGCCATACGTAATAATATCGTGTCCGGATAAGGCCATTTGCAAAAGCCCAACAGTGCGTTCAGAAAAAAAACAAGCCGTCACAAGATGCCGTCGCGCTAATACACAACACGCCGTCGCGACTCGTGTGTTTGCGCGACAGCGTGTTGTGAGAACTCGTGTTAGCGAGACAGCGTGTTTTTCTATGTTGTGATAACGCGACCGCGAGTTTATTTATGTCTCTCACTATTTCCTAGATACAAACAGCTCACCGCAGCTTTGTTTTGCTCAGAATGTGTGTTTCAATTACGAAAGGACAAATATCTGAATAAAATATAATGAAAATGTCATTTATTCAATAGTAAATGACGAAAAATTAAGTTTTACAAACAAGCAGGGAAATCAGCAAAAAACAAAACAAACATTTTGCACGCACATATAAATATATACATTTTACAAGATATGAACACATACGTTCTGATTTCCCCCATAGAAAATAGGTCATAAAGAAAACTTTAGTTCTGACTAGATACAACATAAACTTTATAAAAAATTACATACGGCTTATAAAAAGCAAAAGATGTGTCATTTATTCAATAGTAAATGACGAAAAATTAAGTTTTACAAACAAGGGGGGAAATCAACAAAAAACAAAACAAACATTTTGCACGCACATATAAATTTATACATTTTACAAGATATGAACACATACGTTCTGATTTCCCCCATAGAAAATAGGTCACAAAGAAAACTTTAGTTCTGACTAGATACAACATAAACTTTATAAAAAATTACATACGGCTTACAAAAAGCAAAAGATGGCGACAAATACGGCCCGATCTTAAAAAAGTGTGACATCAAGAACAAAAACCTGTAGAACAACAATTTTAAATAAAAAATGGTTTTTACATCATAGACAGACTTCGCTATACAAGTACACTGTATATACTTCTAACATATGAAAAACTTCATGTCTAAGCAAAAATAAAAAATAAAAAAGGTGGATATGAGAATGGGGAGGTGGTGGGCAATTAAAATTCAAAGGGCTAAAAACGTGTGTCCTCGAATCAATGTTTGGCAATAATAACAAAACCACGTGACTCTTTATTTAATTCTCATTGGATAATGAGCCACCTACTTGGCTCATATTTCCTGGGGCTCAACACAGGGTTAAATCGAACGTGTGTTTCGCAAGAGGGGGCAACTATTTTTACAGGAAAAGTATCGCCATAAATGCTATTATCTACATAATAGGTGTTTTGTGTTAGCATGACAGCGTGTTGTGAGTTAGAGTGACGGCGTGCTTTTTTGAACGCGTTGTAAAGCTTTTAAATTAGCAAATGGCCCTATCATAATTATAGATAATTAGTGATATAACCTATTTAAATAGTTGATATCACGTTTTCAAAAGTCTGATATCATTCAATCCAATTGAATAAGTGAGATTTTCAAAAAGCAATTTAATTCCTCAGCATTGATTCAAAATGGATTAAGTTGTTATGTTCCCCAAACGAAGTTGGGGAACATATTGTTTTTACTCTGTTTTCTATTAGTATGTTCCTCAAACGAAGTTGGGGAACATATTGTTTTTACTCTGTTTCTTCTTCTTCTTATTTTTCTTCTTCTTCTTTTTCTTCTTTTTCCTGGGTACTTTTTTGTCCGGGAGTGATCTTGTAAACTACACATCCGACTTAGGTAAAACCTTTTTAGTAGGCATGTTATGTAGATTTGCGGAACGAAGGTAATTTTGCGCGCACGTGCTTGCAAGAGCGTGCACGTGCAACATGTGAAATGACCGATTTAATTGATATGGGCGTAACTTTTTAAATTTTTAATGAAATGCTTTGAAACTTATAATATAAGGATATGTTAGTAGCATAGACAAAATGACATGGTCAAAATAGCAAGTTCTCACGCGCATGCTCGTGCGCTTCGCTCTGATTGGCCGAAACCCAAGTCTCAGTATCTCTCTTGTTTTTTGACGAAATCCTTGAAATTTTGAACATAACCATGCATTAGGATATCCTACAACATGATATATAGCAATTATCATGGAAACACGTGCATGCACGTGCGCTGCAATCTCATTGGCTTAAACTTTAAATAGCTATAACTCCCTTGGTTTTCAACCAGACAGGATGGGATTTGGAACATAGATAGATATAATAAACTACTACAAGAAGGTATGGTCACCATGCACATGCATACACGTGCGTGTATGTGCGCTGCAATCTGATTGGCTGAAACTTTTGACAGCTATAACTCCCTTGGTTTTCAACCAAACGGGGAGGGATTTAGAACATAGATAGATGTAATGGATTTCTACAAGAAGGTATGGTCACCATGCTCATTTTTTTTAAACAGGTGGCTCCCATCAGCCACGTACCTCCGATCACTTGACTCTACACTAATTTAGTGTTTCGGCGGTGTGAAACGAGGTATATCTTTATAAATTGATTTATGATGAAGAAATAATTTTCATTATATTGCTGCAAATCCGCCTCATCAGGAGTTTATTTGCATTATGCATTTATGCATCTACACATAATATTAAAATAAATCATTTAATTGTTGAGGAGGTGAGAATATCACCTAAGTTTTTATGTAGGACACAATAGGTAATTCTGAGAAGACTTTTTTACAGTCTTCATCCTTTGTAAGGATGTGCCAATATTTTATCAGTTTTCTTTTTAAATGTCGTATATAGGGGTTGTATTTTGTGACAAAAACAAGAGGAATTCCTTTTTTCTTGATGTCACTTTTACTTTTTAGGGTTTTCTCTCTGCTATAATTAGCGAGTACATTTTGCATGTTAGATTTGATTTCAATTTTATCGTATCCTCTTTTTAAGAGATTAACCTCAAGTATATTTTTATAAATTGATTTATGAGGAAGAAAATAATTTTCTTCATATTGCTGCAAATCCGCCTCATCAAGAGTTTATTTGCATTATGCATTTATGCATCTACACATAATATTAAAATAAATTATTTAATTGTTGAGGAGAGATATATGAGAAATACAAGCAATGAAATAACTTTGCTTGAAATTCTGCGTGAGTTTGAGGTTAACCTCTTAAAAAGAGGATACGATAAATCTTTTACGACTTGTACTAGAAAACAATATATTCCAATTTAACTCTGCTATGTATAAACAAACAATAGGATGTGCGATGGGTTCTAAGTGTTCCCCATCTGTGTGCGACATTCGCCTTCACCAAATCACAGATGAAATCATCGATAAATTTACAGGGAAAAATGATTTAATATATCATGGTCGCTATCGTATTTTTCACGGATCGGAAGCTGTCATCCATGAACTATTTGAAATGGCCAATTCACACCATCCTCTAATCAAATTCACATATGAAATCTCCACACAAGAAATCAATTTCTTAGACACTACAGTGTTCAAAGGAAAAAGATTTAAAACCAATCAAATTCTGGATTTTAAAACCTACATTAAACCAACTAACACATTCCAATATTTGGAACGGAATAGTGCACATAATTCCTCTGTTTTTAAAGGATTCATCAAAGGTGAAACAATACGCCATATGAGAAATACAAGCAATGAAATAACTTTTCTTGAAATCCTGCGTGAGTTTGAGGTTAATCTCTTAAAAAGAGGATACGATAAAATTGAAATCAAATCTAACATGCAAAATGTACTCGCTAATTATAGCAGAGAGAAAACCCTAAAAAGTAAAAGTGACATCAAGAAAAAAGGAATTCCTCTTGTTTTTGTCACAAAATACAACCCCTATATACGACATTTAAAAAGAAAACTGATAAAAATATTGGCACATCCTTACAAAGGATGAAGACTGTAAAAAAAAGTCTTCTCAGAATTACCTATTGTGTCCTACAAACGCAATAAAAACTTAGGCGATATTCTCACCTCCTCAACAATTAAATAATTTATTTTAATATTATGTGTAGATGCATAAATGCATAATGCAAATAAACTCCTGATGAGGCGGATTTGTAATATATGCAATATGATGAAAATTATTTCTTCATTATAAATCAATTTATAAAAATATACCTCGTTTCACACCGCCGAAACACTAAATTAGTGTAGAGTCAAGTGATCGGAGGTACGTGGCTGATGGGAGCCACCTGTTTAAAAAAAAATTAAATAAAAATTAAAATGTATGCACGTGCGTGCACGTGAAATGAGCAAAATCAAAAATACACTTGAATGAGCGTATTTTTAAAAATACTTTTGGATTAAATTCTTTAATATTTAGTATATTAAAATATATAGATTGTGTAGTCAAGATGATATGGTCATTACGCACATGCATGCACATGCGCACGCGTGCAATGCTAAAATTTGAATGAACTTGGTACACTTCTGGGTAAACGTTGTTAAAATCTCAAATGCATAGAGTTTGTCTTATTTAATGAAGCTTACAGGGAACATGGCACCAAAAGGGAGTTGGGGAGTGTTTGGGGAACATCTGTAACGGTCCCCGTTACAATTAGCACTAGTTTTTATTACTCTTAAACAATGTTTCAACACAAGTCTTTAAGTTTTATGGACCTTTTGTACTTCAGTTGAACCCTAACCTGTACTATTTCCGCAGTGCAGTGATAAAATGAACTTTAATTTCTCTGTAAAAGCATTTTTTGCGCAAAGAGTGGAGGGGATTTATTTATAAGTAATGTAATGTATATGTACACTAAGTACAACACCATAGAAAAACCAATTTTCATTTACAAAAATAAAAAAAACCCACACAAACAGACAAACAAACAAAGAAACCAAAATTTCAATTTCACAATTGCAAATTCGAGTGCTCTTTTTCGTTGGTGTTTTAGTCCGAGACATTTTGAAATACCACAGGTTATGGATCCCCGTAAAGTTGTAAAATAAAATCTATTTGCAATCCGTCTTGCTATATGTTTTGACTCTTTCACTCTGATAAAATTATTTTTGAACAAATAGACTAAACTTTTTTTTACTTCGTTTATAAAGTAATTGTATTACATGTACTAGTTTATGCAGGATATTTATAGTCTATGAAGCAGTTGTTATTTAATAAATAATTTGAATAGAAGATATCACCTATTAGAATAGCTGATGTATCCTATTCTATAATTGATAAGATAAATTATTTGATTTTAGTACTGATATCCCCTGTCTGAATAACTGATATCACATATTCAAATCAAATATATGTCAACAATTATTCAAAATGTGATATTACCTATTCTGATAGGTGATATCACCAATTCATTTCCAACAGTTGATATCACTTATTCGAATATTTAAAGGTGCATAAACACAGATTTGAAGCTAACATTTTCTCAAATCTGTATAATATTAGACTTATATATTGCAATAGCAATTCACTCGAAAATATATTAAAAATTTTATTTCATCTTAAAGTTATTGAAACTTCAAATTTTTGGACGGGTTTGATTGACACATCCTTGCACGTTCACAAATTTTAATTTTATTCTTAATACTTAGAAAAAATGGCAATGTAAATAAGACTCTTGTTTATAGATGATTTTGGGCGGGTTATGGGACATTGTCATTTGAATGATCAGCATATGACAGGAAGACCGAAAGATGGCATGTTTGACGGAAACGTTCACTGATGTCTGACTTTGTCAAAAAAGACAGACATGTCACGGTTAGAGTGATATGAGAAACTTTTAGTTTTTCTTATGGTACTCTTCAAAGAATTTTGACAGAGGACTTAATTATAAAAAGAGTTAATGTATCTGGTGCCAAGAATTTTTTTAAAAAAAAGTGAAATATGTGAATGTGTTCGTGAATCTCAAATATTTTTTTATGAAACGAAGGGGAAACGTTTAAGGTCACAAGCAACGTAGTTTGAACTTTATTGGGTTCTTCCTTAGAGTTGAAGAGTTCCACTGAATGAAGGACCTGTGTGCAATAATTTTAATTTCTATGTATGGTTTTATACACCTCTTCTAAAACAATTTTTGATGAAAAAAATCTGGAATTTATGTTTTGTAATTTTTGTACATTTTTCTTTGAAAAATGCATAAATTAACTTAATTTGATATCTTTTCAAAACCCCTGGTAACGCCTGCTGATTTTTTGTCTAAGAAATGTTATGTTATTATAAGTTTGAATTTAGAATATCTTGAAAAATTATCAGTAGGTACGGTACCTTGTGTATGTCCTTAAGTGTATGAGGCGAGTATCCGTCATATGACGTTATTTAGGTGCGGCGAAAACCATAATCGCACGTTGTATATAATTCGATATTTTGAAAAGTATAAATCATTTTAATTTGTATTTTCCGGGTCTAATTTGAAATAGATAAAGTTTCCATCATATATAATTTTGTTGTTTTACATCGACTATTAGCAATTTTACCGAATAGTGAATTTACTTTTGGATCAACCCTCGTGTTAAACAGTGGGAGCATTAATCTATGCTTCACCTTTGGCCTTGTATATTTGACTTAGAATGTTGACGCACAAAAGTTATGCCCTTGACCTTTAACCTAGTATATTTGACTGGGACGAAGGAGGCGTGCAGTCAGGGAGCATGTGGGGCGTGCACAGTCATGGTGTCTTACTACAACCAACACCAGAAGAAAATTATGTATCCTTTGAACATTGCTTTCGATTCAAAACCAAGAAATGGAATAAACCTCTGATTGATTTTATGCATGTTTATTTAATATTTTCAAAAATAATCGTCCTATCTGCGTGAAATACTTCATATTTGTCTTCGTTTGTAAGGCTCATTATATAAATTGTTTTGTAGAAGAACTTAGATTTAATACTTCAAGTGGTAATCCAGCTTATATTAATGTTTCCTTTCTAAGAAATTCTTCAAAACCATTTGTCAGTTTTGAATATTTTTGAAATCCTAAAGAACCAAAATGAATTTGAACTACCTGATCTATATTGGATTTCGAAATTTCATAAAAATCCTTACAAAGATTCATTGCGGGTTCCAGTAATTGCTCAACCAAGCCTCTTTCTTTACTCCTCACTAAGATATTAATAGTAGCGAAAGAAAAACTTCAAGAGTACTGTGCAACAATATATTCAAGAAGTGGTGTAAATCAAATGTGGATACTTAGAAATTCCAAGGAACGTTTGGACAATTTGAAATCACAAGGTTTTTAACAAAATCAGCAGCTAAAAAGCTTATGACTTTTCAACTTCATACACAACATTCCGCATGATAAATTAAAATCAAGGCTTTTTGATATCATTGGCAGCTGCTTTTTCAATAAAAATGGAATTTGCAAATTTTCTTACCTTGTCATTGGTCATTAGCAAAATTATTTTGTTAACAAAAACATTCTGACTGTACACACAAGCACTCTGAAGTTAACATTAAAGATGCTTGAGTTTCTGACTGACAATATCTATGTGGTTTTGGGGGACGAGGTCTTTCAACAATCTATTTGAATTCCCATGGTTACCAATTGCGCCCCGTTATTAGTAGACCTATTTTTGTATGCATATTAAGGAAGGATTCTTCTCTGGTTTCTGACTAGATGGAATATTCAAAGTACAATAAGTATAATAAGGATTTGTCTTATATATTTAGGTGTAAGAGATTTAAAAGACCATATTTTTCTTTCCTCGTCACAATCTTAAATAGAAATAGTAAACTGCGTTTGAAAACTAGCAGGGACTATATTTTTGGCGGAATGGTGGCGTATGAAAATATCTTCTTTTCTGCCTCTCAAAATTATTATAGAACATTGAATTTAGTTATAATTTTTACGCAATCAAAGACTAGACGAAATTTTCAAATGTAATTTAAATTAATAATAACGGACTAAAGTTTCACAATATATCAAATAAATAAGATTTTTCACACATTTTTATTCTTAATGTCAAGGAAAAAGGTAATGACCTTGACCTGACCTTGCCTCGAATATTTTAAATCAAATTTAATCTCACTGATACCATCACTTAGTGATATTGTCCTCTTGATTCTGTGAAAATTTCATTAATTTTTGAATACAAGAAATGTGAGAAGAATCCTACCTTAAGCAGAATTTGTCCAAAATCTTATACATGAAAAGAAGAAAACACTTGCTGTAGCCTTCAACTCGACATTTAAATATATAAAAGGCGTACTGACATTTAACGATGGAAACATCCATTCTGATGTCGATACGATATATCTGGGAGAGATTGAAATAAATGTACTTCAGAGTCTGACAAATCTGTTTCATATTTAGATATTTTACATGAAATAGACGTTAATGGTAATCTAACAACCAAGCTCTATGATTAACTTGATGACTAACTTTACCATCGTCATCTTTCCTTATTTATGCAAAAATATACCATCATCACCGGCATACGGGGTTTATATATCTCTTATGTCTTTTACACGGAGTTAATATATCTCAGTTGATTCGATAAGCAGGAGCATGCTTTACGTATTTACAATTTCTAAATCGAGGTAAATTATCGACAAACGGGTTAATGAAACAATAATATCAGCAGTTTCGTTAAAAATCATCATTTCGTAAGTTCTATGGTCGATACAATGACCTTGTCAGCAAATACAATTTATCATCGAGTCAAATGCTGACTGATGTTTCTCATATTTATTGTTAGTCCATTTTTTATACACTGAATTGACGACGGATTTTCCCGTTATTTCCCAATTATGAACAAGAAGCACACGGCGGGTGTGATCAGTCAGCAGGGGATGCTCACACCTCCATGGCACCTGATCCCAACTCTGATGTTTTGGGGGTCCGTGTTTTCTATGCTCCTATTTTTTTTTATTGACTTTTGATCTTGAATACTGTTCGTTATCTCCATATGTTTCAGTGATATAGTAATCGAGCGAATGGATCAGAGATTTTTCACGTCAACCTTAACTTTTAAGTCACTATTCCTGCAATGCCTGCATGACCCTTTTGTGCACACTTCATGGGACAGCCATAACGACTGTAGAGGGTGTGGGAAGTACAAGGAATGGACTTCATACCATACAAGTAGGACTAATGAACCCATTCCACTTTAAAACAGAAAATCTTGTAGAATATCTTATAAGATATTTATGTTTGTAACTATAGAGAAAGGAAAAGGGACATTTTTGTTGCATACAGTTTCATTTCAATAGATATGTTTAATTTGTAATCATACTTTTTCTGTAACTCAGACATAATCAATTTGAATTTTTTTCATCTTTAAGATATAGCTATTGAATGATCTCGGATTTCTGGATTTAAAGTGAGGTTGTATTGTAATGAACATAAATATATATATCAACAGTTACTCAGAAAACTTAAAAACAAATTAATTAATTTGGTCTACTTTTTTTATCTAAATAAACATAAAGTCACAATGTTTATTTAGAACAATTTACTGAAGTATCACGGACTACAGTGCGGGTTTTGTACCCCGGGGATGGTGATGACGATGTACACGATGTACAGAAATAACAAAATGCCAGAAGAGGACGATTTTGAGCGAGCATTAGAAGGTGATTATAGTATAGGAATCCTTTGTTTTAATAATCTATGTTTTTATTATCTGTATGATATAACAACACTGATTTATTATAAAAAAGACTATTGTTTATAAGTAAAATTCATTCACATGTGATTCTTATTTTGGTAAAAAAGACATTATATCAACAAAGAATTACTTCACGTAGGGATGTTGGATATCCATTTGGTATCAGCTCCTCGAAAGGCATTTATAGAATGAATTATGCAGTCTTTTAAGAATGTAGAATTTCTGTTACTTAATAAGTATTGGTTCTAAGTTCGAATCGTCATATTCAACGTTATTATATTTTTTTTTTTCAAGGAAATTTATGCCGATGTACTGGATATCGATCTATTCTGGAGGCTTTTAAGTCGGTAAGTATTGCGTTATCGAATATAATTCTAATAGTGCTGCTGAGGTTATAAATGTATAGGCTTGTATAGCGTTTGTTATAACGTCCTATTTTGATGAAAGGAACAGAAGAACGGTGCAGATATCTCTTAATAAATGTTGGGAAGTGTATGTCTTTGAAAACTCGTTACGCCTTTCACTCATTTTAAATGGTAATTATACGTATACATGTGTATCTGAATTATATGTGTATGCATTTACTGCATGTGCTTCCTTACACACTGTTTAATATATTTATAATCTATATATATATATTGTTCTTATTGAGGAAACGCTAGAATTAAAGTCTCCATAAGCTATTTTCTTTGAATACTTCAACAGTTACCTACCACGCATTGACGCAGTCTTTCTTCAAACTAGCTACGATATCATTGAATCACAACAAATTTGGAGCAGAGCAAATTTTACCTCAAAAACATAGTTAGCAGAGGAGTAATTAAGCATTCCCTGTCGACTGTTCACATTAAAATCCAATAGACGATTCAGTTTACATATCCTAATATAGTGGCTCTACAATTTGTAAAATAATGTTAGTCAGCACTGAACTTAATGGTAGATTTTATTCATTGACTTGGTCATGCTATTGAACTAGAATAAGCGAAATGTTGAATTTGAAAGAAATTAAAATTCACGATTTTCGAACTTGTTTTTCAATCGCTTGTCTTGTTTCAGAAATTGTGTATGCATACAGTAAGCTCTTACTTACCGAATCAGCAGTACGACATTAAATCAACATGCAAGTGATAAGGTTATATTGTTACGGAAATAAAGAAAGTTGACGATGGAAAGTTTTAAAAGTCATCACATCAAGATGTATGTAAAATCTCTAAAAAGAATGGCTAAGTTCAACACATATAAACTGAAATGTATGAAAGAAATAATTTTCGTCATACGCAGAACGTTAGGGCAAAGTTTTTATGTGTGTGAACTGTCAAATTTTCCTTTCTCGTCTGTATGACGGCTCAATAAATATTCAAAGAAGCTGGAAATATTAGTTTTAAAAAAAGAGTGACCATGACAACGAGGACACAAAACCTAATTTGAACGATTTTTATTTTTTTTTCTGTGTGTCAAACATAAATGATGAGTAAACTTTCACAAAAAGGGTGACGATGTTATGCCGATCTCTAATTACTTTTTAGGTTAAAAACAACCTTTAATTTGAAAATCGTTTACAATGAAAATAGATATAAAATAATCAAAACTGAATCATGGCTTCGTCCAATCACCAAATTTGCAGTGTTTTATATTAATTAATTCATACGTTTATGTTTTGAGTAAAAAGGTTTCTCTTAAATGGATACAGAGATAAATAAAATACCTGTTGTTTGTAAGTTACAACGGCTTTGAAATGTATTCATTTTTCTAACTTTCTAGAGTTGTGGGAGGGGAAAGTCATGCTGCATGAACACGGAAAAAGAAGAAGGGATTGATATCAATATGGCAGTAAGTTAAACCCTCAGCATCCCTGATCCTATGTTTATGAATCACTGTGACCAATTTACATAAAGACTTTAACTCTTCACAACTTACTGAATTGTTATGCAACACATACTTAATGATAAAGTCATAGAAATATGTGTGTACCATTTCACCGCAAACACTTTATAGCGTGGAATTAGTTTCTCTAAAGTTCAGCGCAAAAATTATGAGTAATATTTTGATAGAAAAATAACTTTTTCTTATTTTATAAAATTTCAGGAAGCTTAAACTAGAAGGAATTTCGCAAAAAATTGAAGATTAAATGAATTTTTTAAAGTGCGTGAAAATACGTCATTGCGGGGAAACGGTATATGCTTGATATTGCGTTAGAAATAGGAAATGGTGTATGCGTTAAAATGCGTGAATGCCTGGAACTGGGTTAATCATGTTAGATATAATTTTAATTTGACTAATGAACTTGTCAGTATTTTCTGAGAATATAAGAAATAAAATTATCTATGCTATAAAGAACTTTGCTCGTTACGTTTTTATCACAGCATTATTTATAGGTACAATATTATCTAAAAGCACTTGAAAAATAATGGGATTTCATATAAACAAAAACAAAATGGGGATTTTATTGCTTTAATAAGAGTAGGCACGTGGTACCCGAAAATCCATGTTAACATTGCACCCACTTTATGAATATTGTAAATAATTTGAATTGTTTATATGATATTCTATAATTGTTCCTTTCAGGATACAAACCTTCGTAATATAAATAAAGATGAGAGTCAAGAAGTAATATTTCCAAATGAATTACAGGTACACACAAAGTTAAAAACCATATGCGAATGACAGTCTGCAAAATATATAATTACAGCATCTTTAATGGTTATTCACATTTTTATATAAAGAATAAAAAAAAATATATAATTACAGCAGTTTTCTTTAACCTCTTTAATGTGAGAGCAGTTATTCACATTTTTATATAAAGCAAAAGATAAAAAAAAAAAAATTATGAAAGTCAAATAGGAAGTATCATTATATCCTAAAATGGTTTTTGAAGGCTATATATTGAGTTCAATCCTCTGTTGAATAAACTACATGTCTGTATACATGAAACAACATTCATATATTGAATTTTATTAGAAAAAAACATTATTAATCGTACTTAATTACTTTTTAAGAATTTACATTTTCAGGAATAGGGGGATACACGTGTTTCTTAATGAAATATTTTATAGACATTTAGTATACATGTACTTCAAACTATATATACATTTATGTATTTTTTGCTTAATGACGTACATCTCATTCAATACATACATCTAGCTTGCTAAAATGTGAGAGCAGCACATCCAGAGGCAGTGATTGTTATGGGTGAGCGGCATGTCCAATGCAGCTATATATACATTTATGTATTTTTTGCTTAATGACGTACATCTCATTCAATACATACACACTTCAATTTTGCGTGACTAGATCGTTGGGACGTTTTTACTTCGGACCGTGGCTTGAGACGATGTATGAGCGGCATGTCCAATGCTTCAACCAAAAGAAGTATTTAATACCAAAGCTTAATACGAAATTATTTTGACAATGTGTAAAACACATATGGCCATGCATTGTAGAATTTGTTAATTTTTGCAAAAATAATATATTTTTGTATTTTTAAAAAAAACATGTGTTGATAGGTCTAACATGTTTATTTGTTATCTAAGAAAGAATCATGTTTGAAATTATGAATATTTGATTCCCTAACTTGTTCGAATCGTCACACTGTATAATAACTATCTAATGTTCGTAGCTTCCTTTTCATGTAAAGACAAATGACTTAGATATTTAGTGACTGTGTTTTATTTGTGTCATAAACTAAAGATAAATTCCTGTAACTTTATCAGGCTCCGATATCAGAAACAACAAGACATCCAGAGTTTTGGTGAGTTGTACAGGAGTCTCAGAACTGAAGGTGATGAAACAAGACGAGAATGAGATTGTCTTTGGTTCCGCTGTTACATTCTCTGAAATGGAACAATTTGTTCTGTCTCTTACATCAAAAGGTAAGAAAAGAATTTTTTTATATGTGTCAGCTTTGTATCATGGTGTTTTTAACTTAATTCATTTTCGTTCTGCTATACAGTAAATATATATATATACAGTATTATAAATTCGGATTTATAAAAACTTGCCTAAAAAGAACAATTTTGATTTCCTAACTATAACTATAACATTATTGGACAACTGGGTAAAATCGTCCCTTATTACATTCAAAAACAAATTTTAAGATTTCTTACCTTTTAATTTTTTTTAAAACTTTCTAAAATCAATCTCCTTCACACATACTATTGGCAGTTATCCTTACAAATTTCCTAGATAGATGAGCAATGTCCTATTTATATACCAATATATGGCAAAACTTAATCAAATTAAACAGGTTTTATTTTTATAACCAGTATCTGTGGAGATATTTACTAATAATTTGTTTGTGTGAAAGTTTTAATTATATCTGTATTTAACAAGATGTGCATTTTAGACAATGAAGGCACCTTAGTTGGGGCTCTTCTTGAGGGAATTCGTTGGATTGCAGCTGACCAAGTCAGGAATGTTGCTGTAAGAATCGTTGGAAATAAATGAAAAATATTTTCTTCATCTCCATATATTACATATTATGGAGATGTCTACTTCGGAAAGTCTAAATTAATGGGAATGTATATCTCAAGTCAAATTTTGAATTAACCATGTAGAATTAAAATTGTTTAATGCCACTTGCACATAATCTTAACTTCTGTGTTGCAATTTGTCTGTCAAAAACTTATCTTAAGAGAGTTTTTGCATTTTTCAAATAAAATTTAGAAAATAAATAAGAATATATCTTTAATTTTTTGAATAATTAGCACATATATATATATTTTATTTCACCGATTTAAAAATCATGCAGCAAGCCAAATAAAAACAGATATTATGATAATTTTTTGTAGACAATTGGTGGCCACGTAATGTCTACAGGTCCACACGACCTTCAAACGTTACTGATGACCTCTGGAGCTATTTTGACTTTTCAGTCTGCTGGTAAAATATAGCCAAATAGATATATAAAATATTAGAATGTTACAACAAATCATATTAACGTTAATGACAGTTTTATTTTACACATGTAAATAGTTTATAAATATAGGTAAAATATGAACTTTTCAATCTGCTGGAAAAGCATCAAAATGAGCTTATGTAGTTCCAACGAAAGAGATTTTAGAGTTTATAGTAATGCATAATATAAAAATATTAACATGAGTGAAAGTTCTTTTTTGTAAACTATTTTTAATATGTATTAACTTAAGTTACAATAAAAGAGTTGTTAATCATAGTTTCATTATAAAAGTGAATCTATACTATCAAGAATTATAAAATAATTTTTAGAGTTATTATTAACCATGGGTCACTAATCCGGAAACTGCATCCATCAGATTACACATCTTGTGCTATTTTAAATATTTTTTTTTTCACTGTACAAAGTAGTAGTAAATAAAGACTCATGAAACATAAAATTAAGTTTGTTTTGTTAGGGCCCCGCAAGTATTTGCGGATGCCCTATAGTAATCACTCTGTCTGTCTGTCAGTCTGTCTGTCCATTTGTCCTTCTTCCGTCCACAAATTTTCTGTGTCTGGTTTTTTTCCTAATAACTTTTTTTTTATGGTTGACCAATTAAGTTCAAATTTGGTATGGTGGTTCAGGAGGCAGAAAGACATATTGTGATGCTAAGTTTGGTTCTCTATGTCTTCTGGTTTGGAGCTGGGGTGGTGGGGTAGATTCCTAATATATGCATAATAATGAATGGACAGAGAGAGATAACTGCTGAGAATATTCCTTTTGTGAACTATGAGATTTGTGCAATGATTCCCTTGGGATTAATTAACCTTCCACTTGAAGTAAATTCTAAGCATTATCTTTATCTGTCACATTTAGATTAATTACTCATTTACTATGCCACCTTCCTCTCTCTAAATGAAGTTTGTTTTGAAGTTAAGTTCATTTTAAATGATGTGTACATTCTCTGAAATATGGATTTAAACAATGTTCATTCTTTATTTTGGTTAAAATACCGTACACAATGAGTTACGATGTTATTGAATTCTAAAAACAAGGTACCATTTAAGATATCCCTTTTTATTATTATTATTTTAGATTTAATTAATTTATTTATTATTAATTTTTTTTTGCTGCCTTAATGCTGTTAATTTCAACATGTAATCAGATAATAACCCCATTCTGTCATTGCTGGAAAAAGTTCTTTGTAAATTGAGAAGAGAAGGATGAGAGAGCAGTACGATTAATCCCCTGGAATAAATTATCTTGCTTGCTGCAGAAAAATTAGAGGCTTATCTTTATCTGTCAAACGAAGATTAATAAACACCTTTGTCTGCAGCTGATGTTTGTTTTGAAGTTGAGGTCAATCCTGGGTGATATTTGCATTTACTGAAGGCTAGCATTTTATAAAACACCTGCTTAAATCTTTTTAGATACACATTTAATTAAGTTATTATAAGTCTTGAGGTTTTCCCTGTTTTATGTAAATACAAGGTTAATAATTACAGGTTTTTGGACATTCAGGAATTATCTTGGAATTTTACAACTACAGTTGTTGCTTATATTCTTCATATATTTAAAAAAATTGTAATCAATTAAAATTCTCATTCCGTAAGCTGCACCCTTATGTTTCTACTTCTCATTAGCGGGGCCCTTGCTGACTAGTCGGTTTTCTAGTTTATTCAGTGTATAATTTTAGGAAGAAAAAATGAAATTCATATGTTAAAGAAAAACTATATTCGATTTTAGGGGACAAGAATCCCCAAGTCATAAAGTACTCGGAGGACTTTTTCCCGAATTCATTCTCGTCGAATTCAATTTTGATATCAGTGAGGTTACCCCGGAATCAAAAGGTAATATTAACTATTACATACAAAGAAGTTAAAAGAAAACATGCTAAATTTTATTGATATTAACTGATATACTAGTACATGTAATTATTATCCTTAAAAATGATTTCTAATTAAAAATTAATATATTCCACAGAATGAGTTCATATTTTTCGGAAAGCAGCCTTTTAGAAGAGGAATGGATTATGCTGTTGTAAATGCAGGACTTTTTGTAAAAATTGAGGAACAGTCTAGCAGAATTAAAGACATGCGATTCTGTGTTGGAAACATAGAAAGTAAACCAAGATATTTAGAAAACGTTACAAAGAAAGCTGTGGGAAGGTAACATGGAAGATATGAAAATAACCATTTTCGAACATTTTTGAATTCCAATCTAAACATTTTTTGATTTGTTTTTATACCATCTTCGATGTTCTAGAGGTCCATGTTTGCTCCTATTATTGTTTTAAGGACTTTTGATTTTGAATACTGTTTGTTATCTCCATAGTATGTTTCATTGATATCAAATTACGATTATAAATTGGCAGCCCTTTCACAGAAGAATTACTGGAGGACACTGGTGACGTCATTGTTCAGGAACTGAAAAACTCTAGGGCTAAACAACTGAAATACAAAATAACACTAGCCTGTGCTTTCTTCTTTAAATTTTACAAGAGGTTATGCGAATTACTTCAGGTAAAGTTCTTTTTATATGTAGTTCATATATTTATTTTATTTTAAATTTATATGTAAAAGATAGGGTATTTAATAATATAATAGTTTGACAGGTCATTTTTAAGTTGTTCTAAACTTGAAGTAAGAATTGAACGGTATTTGATATTGAAATACACGCATTGAATGTAAAATATTTACAAATGGTAGAATTTGAATTTTTAACTGTAACTAAAACATATCAATGTTCTGAGAAATTCACCATAGAAAATCAAAAGTTTCACATTTTCTTATTCAATTTCAATTTTCAATGTAGATATGCTTACGTACGACAAATTGTTTTTTAATTAAGTTATCATGGATTTGTTAGAATGTCATCCTAGTTTAAGAAAACAAACATTACCCTTTTCTTCCTGCTAAGAACATTCAGTTCATAGAAAACCATACTTTTCTTTTGTACATATTTGTAGCATGCTAGTAATTTTAAACTATCTTTTCATTACAAAGATATCGGAGGGAGGTACCTTTGGCCTTACTCCGGTCCACTCAACAGGAGCACAGTTTTATGACGTACCAGCAGACGACAGCAGCAACATCGTCTGGCAACCTGTGCCACACGTGTCGTCTGAGAGCATCACAACTGGAGAGGCAGTATATGTGGACGATATTCCAGAGTACAAAAGTACTACTATATCTGGATGACTACAATATAAAATAATCAGTGTTTTTTGTGGAAATGAGATGAATCTATATGCCTATTTCTTCATGGCACCTGATCCTATATTTGAAGTTTAGATTTCTTTCTTTGCTCTATTCGCTTTCTGAATCGTTCCAGTAAACTCAGTAAACTTTTGAGCTTCATTATTGTTCCTAAGCTTCATATTTGTTGCTATAAATTATATTATATAATTCTAAAATTCAATACGCTGATTAAAAGGATTCAAAGCACAATTAGTTATTATACGAATAAAAAACTAAACTGTTTGTCATTTTTTCTTCTCAGATGAATTGTCGTTAGCCCTAGTTTCCAGTTCCCGCGATCATGCTAAAATTCTCTCCGTCGATTTCTCTGCGGCTCTGGGGTCCCCCGGGGTGGAGGACTTTGTAGATTACAGAGACGTCCCCGGAGAATTGGAGTATGGAGAATTTGGACCAGAAGCACCTTTATTTGCTGATAAAGAAGTAATTTGAAAATTATATTGAATAACTGTACATCAGATATATTTTTTTCTGATGCAAACAATATAAATAAACTTTGTGGAAGGTGTGTTTATTCTGCAAACTTTGTTTCTCAAACAGATAATCTGCCTACCTTCTTATATTATAGCTACTTCTGTAATGAAAATATAATGAATATATTATTTTGTTTGTAGGTGACTTATTTTGGACAACCTATTGCGGGAATTCTAGCCAGAACAAGGGAGGAAGCCAGAGCTGCGGCTAAACTGGTGAAAGTTGAATATGAAAATCTACCCGCTGTGTTTACCATTGACGTAAGATTTCTTTTAAGCAGTGGTACTCTCTTATGATCAGTACTGCATGTATTTAATTTAACTGTTAATTAAAGTGTTCAAATAGATTGATTGATTGATTGATTGTATATTGTTTAACGTCCCCCTCGAGAATTTTTCACTCATATGGAGACGTCACCGTATGCCGGTGAAGGGCTTCAAATTTTTACCTTTACTCGGCACTCAGGGCCATTGAACAGTGAGGGATCTTTATCGTGCCAACGCCTGCCGCGCGCTGACACGGGGCCTCGGTTTTTAAGGTGTCATCCGAAGGACCCGCAACTTTCACTTCAAAGTGCCGAGCGCATGGCGAAGGAACAGTTGCTACCCATTTTATGTTCAAATAGAAGATGTTATTATAATTTCGTATTCTCCATCGTTGTTGTAATACTAATTTAAGTTTGTTAACAACAATCACTACAGCCATCAATCATGAACGAACGCAATCATGTTACAGTAATGAAGACTACTAATATAACTAGTACATTTAGTTTTACTTATGTGAACAACATCCATAAAATCTCATTTCACCAAATCCTATCATTTAAAACAATTTGGAGAGCTTTTACACAAATCCCAAGAGCTGTTGATGACTAGCTACTAGTTTTTAAATTATATTGTTATACAAAATTTAGTCGTTTTGTCGTGTTTTATCAAGATCACGAAACCCTTTGGTAAATATCTAAATATGTATTAAGAGACAGTAGGATATTTTATCTTTAAACGATGTTTGTTGATCATAGCAATGCACCAACACAGAGACTCGTATTCACATAACATTTCAATAAGCACAATAGGATTCTCAGGAAGAAACACCAAAATAACACACGTGCACTCAGGTGAATAATTTTTGATACATTAGGATGCAACTGAGAAAGAAAACTTGTTTGATTTCACCAACTCAACGAAACAAGGGAACATCGAGCAAGGAATGACTGAGTCTGAAGTGACGCTAGAGGGCGTTGTGGAGACAGGTGCGCAGGAGCATCTTTATATGGAGCCGTGTTCAGCCCTGATATGTCCCAAAAAAGAAGATAAAGAAATAGAGATATTTGTAGGAACGCAAGATCCTTCTGGATTGCAGGTAACGGATAGTTCAAATTTAAAGATTTAAAGAGATATAGAATCTACATGGAAACTTTATATATTTTTTATTGAAAAAAATTGAAATAACATAAAAAATATGATTTACTCATATTATTTTGTTTGATTCAAAAAAAACAAAACAATTATCACATTATACTGTATATATTATCATTTCTTAGATACAAATACTTGACTTGATATTCAATTTAAAAATAATAATTATATAGGATACGGCCATCTCCTGATAATTATTGAAGTTGAATAATTCCAGGTGACAAGAATACTGCATGTTTAGTCAATTTCATCTTTCTCTCTTAGAAATGGGTCGGACAGTTTCTGTTGATTCCGTGCAACAGAATAAACATAAGGGTAAAGCGAATTGGTAAGGAGTTGTACATATTTTTACATTTTTAAAGAAATACGAGGATTATTACTTAAGAGAAATATTTTTTATACTATATTATTTTATATTTATTTTTGATCTATTATGAAGGCGGTGCCTTTGGTGGGAAGGCCATAGACATCATTCCTCTGACCGGAATAACATCGGTAGCTGCTTGGAAGTAAGAAATCCTATACTCTGTTGAGTATTGTCGTTACTAGCTTAAGGGACTCCGATCCTCAGCTAGGAAAGACAACTCTTTAATTTTTAGGTCACCTGAGTAAACTCAGGTGACCTATTGCTATCCGTTTTCGTCCGTCGTCGTCCGTCGTGTGTCGTGTGTTGTGTGTCGTGTGTCGTGTGTTAACATTTGAACATTTTCAGCTTCTTCTCTGCAACCACTGAACCAATTTCAACCAAATTTGGCACAAAGCATCTATGGGTGAAGGGGAACAAAAATTGTGAATTTCATGATCCCTGCCCCCCCTGGGGCCTGAGGGGTGGGGCCAAAACCACTAAAATTTATGCAATCTTTAAAAATCTTCTTCTTTACTCCTGGACATCAAGCAGTCAAACTATTTGCATGATTGTAATCAGCATTGAGTCCTCTACCAAAATTGTGAAATTCATGGCCCTGGGGTCAGGGGTTCTAGTGCTAGGGCGGGGCTAAATAAGTAGGTAGTGAAAATGCATTATTTCTTTGAAAATCTTCTTCTCTGCTCCTGGGTATTAAATAAACCAACTAAGTACATAGTTATGATGAGCAAGAGTGCCTCTACCAAAATTGTGAATTTTATGGCCCCAGGGTCAAGGGTTCTGGTGTTGGGGGGGGGGGGGGGGGGGCTCTATTGATTATATAGTGAAATTACATGAATTCTTTGAAAATCTTCTTCTCTGCTCCTGGGTATTAAATAAACTAAGTAAGTGCATAGTTATGATGAGCAAGAGTGCCTCTACAAAAATTGTGAATTTTATGGCCCCAGCATCAATGGTTCTGGTGGGGGGGGGGGGGGGATTTATTGTTTATAAAGTGAAAATACATGAATTCTTTGATTCTTTGAAAATCTTCTTCTCTGCTCCTAGGTATTAAATAAACTAACTTACATAGTTATGATAAGCAAGTGTTCCTCAACCAAGATTGTGAATTTTATGGCCCCAGGGTCAAGGGTTCTGGTGTGTGTGTGGGGGTGGGGGGGGGGGGGGCTCTATTGATTATATAGTGAAAATATGTGAATTCCTTGAAAATCTTCTCTGCTCCTAGGTATTATATAAACTAACTAAGTGCATAGTTATGATGAGCAAGTGTGCTTCAACCAAAATTGTGAATTTAATGGCCCTATCATCAAGGGTTCTGGTGTTGGGGGGGGGGGCTTTATTGATTATATAGTGAAATTACATGAATTCTTTGAAAATCTTTTTCTCTGCTCCTAGGTATTAAATAAATTAACTAAGTGCATAGTGATGATGAGCAAGAGTGCCTCAACCAAAATTGTGAATTTTATGGCCCCAGGGTCAAGGGTTCTGGTGTTGGGGGGGGGCTCTATTGATCATATGGTGAAAATACATGAATTCTTTGAAAATCTTTTTCTCTGCTCTTAGGTATTAGATAAACTAAGTAAGTGCATAGTTATGATGAGCAAGAATGCCTCTTCTAAAATTATGAATTTCATTGCCCTAGGGTCTGGGGTTCTGGTGTTAGGGTGGGGCTCTATTGATTATATAGTGAAAATACATTAAATCTTTGAAAATTTTCTTCTCTGTCTCTGGGTATGAAGCAGATGAACTACCTATATAGTTATGATGAGCAAAGGCCCTAATCTTGCAGAATTGTGAATTTCAAGGCCCCAGTGTCAGGGGTGGGAGCTCTACTTATATACTGAAAATGAATTAATTGTTTGAAATCTGGTCCTTTGTATTTATAAAACATTTATTTACTTTTTGATAGGCAATTTTAAGGGTGCCTTTTAAAAATTTGTGCAACCTAGGGACTGGGGTTTATGTCAGAGTGTTAGGGGTACTACTGATTATTGATGAATATTACTGATTAGTTGGAGTGCATTTTTGTTCCCCTACCCTGCGTATGGGTATTCAGTAACCAAGCTAAGCAACTGCTAAGTTTATTGTTATGATGATCAATGGTGCCCTTTCAAAATTGTGAGTGCCATATAGCATCTGGCTTAAAACATGAATCAAATTCAATACACTGTAACTGGAAAGTTGTTGCATAATGCTCAGGTGACCTATAAGGCCCGTGGGCCTCTTGTTAATATAATTCAAAAAGTCTCAAAATGAAGCTGGAAAATTAAATCTTTTCATGCAATAATTTTCATTATATACCTCTAAATGTGCGTCAAGGCTTTTTGAAGTTTTCAGAAAGGTCTAATAAAAAGTCGAATTTTTACCCCGTAAAAGCATTTTGAAATTACATATTGATGGTCATTTTAATTTAACCATAGATACCAATGTTTATTAATATGATATGAAATTAGAAGTGATTTATGGTGCTTTGAAATGACAGGAGAATCTTTATACACTTTGCATTGTAAAATGATCGTGGAAAATAAAAGAAATTAAAGAACATTATATGTATAAAAGTTGTGGAATTTCTACAAAATCCTGGATACCTATGATTTTCATTTTTAAAATGTGCTAATTGATAAATTTGAACTGAAAAATGCATAGCAGGTGTGTTTATTCGCAGTCCCTGAAAATATATTCGAGATTTACCAATTTTCTCTATATGATATGATAAACTTGAAAGATGAAGTCTGAAGAAATATTGTGGGTAAAAACATGTTACTTTGAAAATTCAGAGACATTTTTTTGAGCATTTTCAATTAGTCAATGCTTGATTTTCAGAACCTGGGGATCGGAGTACCTTAATCATTACTGGACATTTTTGGAATAACATTTAATGCGTTTTGCCTTTGCAGGAGTCATGCAGGAAATCCTTTACATTGATTACACTTTAAATAAAAAAAAATATAATACTATATGTTATGCTATTATTGTTTATTTAACTGTATATTGAATACCAAATACTAGTAACCATGAAATATTTTTGCATAGCATTTCAATACCAATATAATGGTTAGGTTGTGTATATACATGTAGGTTTAAAAAACCCTGTCCTGACAAATGTAACGGGTGTTAAGAGAATCTGTAACTCTTTTCACAAAAAATTTTATGACATATTTTTATCTATAGTGAAAACTTACGATATTAAAGTCGTTTTTACAATAAGTCCTAATTGCAAAATATATCATAACTTTACGAGAACCCTAACCCTCTCTTAAGTATTTGCAAACCGATTTATTGTTAAAATATAAACAACAAAAATCAAAATTCACGTTATACAGAAGTTTCAAAAGTAACTTCCAATAATGTGTTTTATGTTCTTACACTCATTGTGGAAAAATGAAATACCTTTTGTATGATTGTGACGTCAAATTTCAATCTTCTTGCTTCATAATCTATTGTACTTGTTATTTCTTGTCAATAACGTTAACTTGTTTTTGCTGACAAATGATGAAAACTAAGCTTCATTCTTATTTTCATCTACTAATTTAAGGATTATAGAGCATATTGAGATTGTTGCTAAGGATGAAGTCTTTCGCAATAAAATCGTAAGTTCAATCTGCTTTAAATGCGTTCGTGAAAAGCACTTAAGATTTGTCGTCAGAGATTCGTAAGTTAAAATCTTAAGCTAAAAACTTAAGACATTTTGTGAAAAGGGCTACTAATCCATGATAATTTAATTTTAGTTTGTAACATTTGATTGGTTGAAAGATTTAATCCATTTTGTATAACATAAATTGCCTACGTCACAATGAGTAACGTCAAAAACATTTAATTTCTCCGCTTGAGGTAATTTTCAAATAATGATAAATTTGAAGCCTCGGCTCCGCCTCGCCAGGTATGAAATTTACAAATCAGGTAGCATCCAGTACCCTGTCACCAAAACACTATGTAACTAATAATACATACTTCCTGAATATTGTTATTCTTCTTCTACTCATATATCATCATGCTATATCTAAGCATATTAAGAATCTCCTTCAATAAAAACGTATTCTATTTTTAGAGTGAATCGACCAGTCCGCTGTATTTTCCAGAGAGATTATGACGTCAGAGCTACTGGTAAACGTCACGGAACGAAGGCGTTTTATAAAGTAAGACTGAAAACTAATCAAAAGACATCGATCAGTTGATGCAAGTAATTTACTCGGTGTAAAATAAATATGCTTGGTTATGTGAAAAGGTTATTTGACGCGTTTTGCTTGGAATCTGTTTTGATGATTGGAGTTTGTATATGAAACGATTTTCCAATTTTCAGGGTAAAGGCTCTTTCACCACATGGATATAGATATTTAATATTGTTATACCCTTATAAATATCATTCTATATATTTATTACTTACAAAAAGTCCAACAAAAGAACTGTTTATTTCATCGGTCTAACAATTTCACTATTGACCGGTCTTACATAAGAATTGTTAGACCGCAACGTCATTCGTCTGTTACGTCACAATTAATCATCGTTCAATATCGGCGACGCGAAAATAGCCGAAGTTAAGAGCTACAAGAGTTGTTGCTAACAGCAAGGTAAGGAAGAAGGGAAGAGTATGTTTTGTGATAAATAATTTTTGTGATACAATAGATATATAATTGATTTTGTTCTTTCTCAGCTTGATGTTTTATATTTACCGAAGAAGCCATAATTTTCCATATAAAATAATTGATAAAATAGCGTGTATTGATTAAATTGATCAATCTTAAGTGAGCAGTGAAGGGTATAACAAAACAGTTATAGACTGGGATTCGGGCAACATATGATTTGTTGGACCTGAAGGTGAAAATGTTGCCCTTGGCCTGCGGCCTCGGGCAACATTTTCACCTTCAGGTCCAACAAATCATATGTTGCCCTCATACCCAGTCAATAACTGTATAATAGCCATTACATAATATAGGGACTATACATAAACCATGTAACAAATATCAGTATTTCACTGAACACAAAATTTAATACATAATTATGTATTTGTTTAATATATAATAGAATAATTTTTTTTACATATCAAAATGTATATATTGAATAGGTCGCAAAATACAATGATTGCCTGTTTATTATTTTTTTAATTTGATAGGTTGGCTTTAGTAAAGATGGAACATTGAATGCATTGTCTCTGGAATTTTATTTAAATGCTGGTGCTATCAAGGGATTAAGTCCGATGGTGAGAGCTTCCGTACACAGTTCATTTAAAACTTTTGAATCATATGTAACAGATGACGCTGTGCCTATTGAGCTAAAACATTAAAAAATCTAGTAGGAGGCCTGCATAATGTATTACCACATTGTCTCTCTCCGGATAAAGATGTTTCCTTACAGTAAATTTCTATGGTGGTATAAATACTTGTGAACTTCTAGGCTCAATCACTTTTCCAGAGTAGAGAATACCCGGTTCAAACATAGCTGCCAAATGAAACCAATCCATGTTTGTGTCTCCCTTTTGGGGAGATTTAAATCCAGAGCTCTATCAGGCCAACTTTTTAATAGCTATTTCACTAGTTTAAGCGATTCTTTTCATACTTCATATGTTATACACATGTATCCCAACCTAATAAAGCAATCAAGTCTCTCTAGTGGCGCAGTGCTATTGGATTGCTCTAAAGTTACAAAGTAAAATATTGATCCTTGATTGGGTTGGAAACCCACTGCAGGACATATCCAAATGCAATCTATATGTCTATCATAACCCGGTTCATTATTAATTCCATTTACTAGCATTCATAAATTTTCATTCAGTCTTGTGAAAGATACGGATATTTTATGTAACTATTTTCAGTAAAATTTGTTCATCGAATTGGCAGAGTAAGCATTTTCATATAACATCAAAGACAACTTCCTGTTGTCAGATTTTGCAAAAATTATTGTACTGATCTATGAATATAGCTGTTATTTTTTCAATTAATAACTTCGAAATATTGTTCAAATATTGCTTAATTGGATGATAATTATATTCTCTTAACATTTTCACTTTTTAATACAAGATAACTTAAATGTATTTATTCCCTTTATGATTTATTATATACATTATACACAGGTACTAAACCAGATGATGGCGGGAATGGCCAGCATCTATAAGATCCCCCATTACTCCTCCACGGGCCATCTGTGTCAGACTAACATCCCATCCAGCACCGCCATGAGGGGGTTCGGAATGCCCCAAGCCCACTTTATCATTCAGAGTATCATGTTTGATGTTTCTAAGCATCTGAACATGCCCTTCAACAAAGTGAGTTCCTATTGGACTTTTAATTTACGAGGGAGTGCTGACTTTTATAATTGAAGACTTACTTTTACACCAGGGCAATGTACGGAAGCTCTTTTACGATGACATATTTAACTCAACATTTTTAAAAAAACGAAAATAATGGGTTATTCCAAAGCACAAATTATAAAATGTCGTTGAAGAAAACGACAACCACTATATATACTATCAACTCCTAGCCTTCATATGTTAGTGCCCTTAACACCATACCTATGACCACTAAAAAGTTTCCTGGTCTATTATCAGTACTTTACTTCTGTACATGATACATGTTTAAATGTCAAAGTAAACCGTCAATTGTAGAAGTCAGTGCTTCTCTCAAAAGTCCATTCAGAAAACAATTGAATTTTTCAGTTCTAAAAGTTTCTTTTCTTTTTATGAATTGTTCATTATTTCTGAAGACATGGTAAAAGCAAACTATTCTCTAATAATGATACGGTATATATTTGAATTCAATTTGATGAAGAAAGACAGGAAGTTTTTGTGTCTGATTTACAGCTGAGAGAGATGAATACGTTCAGAGAGGGCGACACAGACATGTATGGTAAAGTTTTGTCAGATTTTAACCTGGTCAGATGTTGGGAGGACTGTAAAACACAGAGCAACTTTAACACTGTAGAAAGAGAAGTGGCGGATTTCAACAGGTGACAGGGGAAAACTAGTGTAAAAGTTATTTTTTTTTAACCGTTACATGTACGTACACTAAAAGTGTTTAAAAATCTAAGTTTCATTATGTAAAAGTAAACGATTTGTCTAGGCTTTAGGGTTGATTATTTCTAGTTTTATATCCCTTGGTAGATTTTTTCCCTGATATTAGCCTTCACCCATATGTCCAAATTTAAAGAGCCCCAAGCAGGTGTGGAAGCCTTGCAGACGACATGATAACTAAAAGATTTCATTTTCTATAAATACAACTGTATATATAGACATGTACCTTGCATTTTCATGTTTTATTATTGAACGAGTGTTATTTTCACAGAAATATATCATCTATTAATCACCCTGCACGAACATTATCTGGTTATTATAATAAAAGTTCAGAAAAGATCAATTTAAAAAGTGACTGCAAAATGTCAAAAGTTTATACTCGGAATTATAAAAAAAGGTTACCCACTACGACATTAAAAATATTATGTTATATGAATCTAAACACATATAATTTAAATACCATATAAACAATGATGGTTTTAAAAACAGAAAATGTTTGAGCAATCATAACTTACATAATTGTTTTTGCATTTTAAATGCTAAATCACAAACAATATCTTTTGAAAAACATGTTTACCTCTTCTGTCTTAACTCCACTGTTGATTTCTAAACCATTGTGAATCCTATCTCTGTAGGGACAATCAATGGAGAAAGAGAGGTGTAGCTATGTCGCCCTGTATCTTCTTCTTCGGCTACCCACCACTCAGTGCTAATTATGTGAGTCTTTTCTGTATCTTTTTCATATGATAATTCAGGACTTATCATATTAATTAAAGATAAATAGCTGCTCCATGTAGATTTAATATTTTTATGAATGACGTATACGTATATAATGTAACTTAATAATTTAGGAGACCTACAATACATTATTGGATACCTGTATATTTAAAACTATAATTGTTTGCTACATCACAAAATTACGGAGTATCTCTTCTTACCTTCTTCTTCTTTGAGTGCACAGTTTTCAGTCTCTTTTAGGATCGTCGTTTGACCTGAAGAACTGGGCATTTGTTACGATTTTTTTCTCCATATGGTCTTTTTCCTCATAATAAAATATTATAAGTATTATGTTTCTTAACTTTCTATTTTATGACAAAAAGTGAACCAAACGTCAAGGTATACATGCTGTTTGCTGATCTTAAAATATAGTTTTAATTTGTAGGCTGGAGCTTTGGTTAATGTTTACAAGGACGGTTCTGTGTTAATATCACACGGAGGGATAGAAATGGGACAAGGCCTTCATACAAAGATGTGTCAGGTATACACGTGGAAAAGTTATCTACAAGAGAAAGGCTTCTCTTTTATAAATAGCCTTGGTTCAGAATTTTCTATGCTGTGCCTGACTTGATTATTTTCGGTGGAATATACGTTTTAAAGAAACATAAATTCACTTTGACTGAGGAATAGATATGAATTAAATTTTCGTTTCAAATAATTGAAATCGAGAGTACCAATTTTTTTATTTGATACTGCAAAATTCCAAACAACTTTTGGACAATTTCAAATCACAAATTGTATCAAAATTAATGTCTCGAAAACTTACAACTTTTCAACTTAATACGCAACCACTCTACACGATAAATTAATGTCCAGGCTTTTTCATATCATTGACAGCTGCTTTTTCAATAAAAATGGAACTCGTAAATTTGCTTACCTTGTCATTTGCGAAATTATTTTGTTAAAACACATTCTGATTAAACACACAAGTACTCAGAAGTTGACATCAAAAAAGATGCTTGAGTTTCTGAATGACAATATCTATGTGGTTTTTGGAGACCAGGTCTTCCAACAATCTATTGGATTAGCAGACCTCTTTTGGTATTCATGGGAAGCAGAATTTGTGCAAAATCTTATGCGTGAAAAGAAGAAAACACTTGCTGTGGCCTTGAACTCGACATTTAGATATATAGACTATGCATTGTCAATTAACAATGGTAATTTCCATTCCTATGTCGATAAGATATATTTTGATGAGCTTGAGATAAAAAGATACCACAGAGTCTGACACATCTGTTTCATACTTGGATATTTTACTTGAGAAAGGCGTTGATGGAATCTAACAACCAAGTTCTATGATAAACGTGATGACTTTAACTTTTCTATCGTCAACTTCCCTTACTTATCACCTGCATACGGAGTTTATATATCTCAGTTGATTCGATACGCAAGAGCATGCTCTATGTATGAACAATTTCTAAAACGAGGTAAATTATTGACAAACAAGTTGATGAAACACAGTATTAGCAGTCTCGTCTAAAGTCATCATTTCGTCAGTTCTATGCTCGACACAATGGCCTTGTCAACAAATACAATTAATCATTGAGTCAATTGCTAACTGACGTTTGTCATACTAATTGTAAGTCAATGTATACACACTAAATTGACGGCAGATTTTTCCCGTTATTTCTCGATATTGACAAGGAGCAAACGGCGGGTGTGACCGGTCGGCAGGGGATGCTCACTCCTCCATGACACCTGATCCCACCTCCGATGTTTCGGAGGGCCGTGTTTTCTCTGCTCCTATTTTGTATTGTTTTATGGACTTTGAGATTGAATACTCTTACTTGTCTCCATATTCTTTATACACTTGTTTAGTAATTTTTATATACCTGTTATATAGATTGCAGCTACAGCATTGGGTATTCCTTTACATCAAGTTCACCTTTGTGAGACAAGTACTCACTCTGTTCCTCATTCTATGGAGTCTGGAGGAAGTTTTGTGGCTGATTTAAATGGAGGGGCCGTCAAGGTAATCCTTAGTCTAGTCATCTCTATCAATGTTTAATACTTAATTATTAGATTCTGATTTTAGTCTCTTTTTTGTGAATAGTTTAAAGTTGTTAAACTTTAGCAATCAGTTCGTATACGTATTTCTATGAAAATGAAAGGGACTTGCATAAATTTAAGAAAGAAGATAGCAGAAGCAACGCAGCATTATGCATTAAATTTTAATTAAGTCTGAAATGAGTTCTCTCATCGGTAATGGCCCCATTGCTTATTTATGTCTTGTAGAATGCTTGTGAAAAAATCAAAGAAAGACTGCAAGTTCTGAAGGAAACGATGCCAAATGCGTCCTGGGTGGAATTGGTATGTGAACTCTTTTAATATTAAAAATTAATTTATTCATTATTTCTTATCATAAAATCTCTATAAGCATTTATTATATTGTAAAAATCAAATGCATGTAAAAAAAAAATTTCCTTTTAGATTAAAGCGGCCCTTTTCAGTAGAATCAACTTATCTGCCACTGGTTTTTACAAGTAAGTATATCAATTAGTGTACAATAATTAATGATTGTTTTCACATTATTGGTTATGGTGAGAGGTAAATTTTCTTTGCTCTTCAGATCACGTGACAAAGGCTATGACTTCCGGAAGCAGGAGGAGGGAGGAGAGTACTGTATGTACCACGGCTATGGCGCGGCGTGCACCCTGACTGAGATTGATGTTTTAACAGGAGAGCACCAGGTTTTTCTTTTGATATGTTGGACTTTTTATCAACTTCATGCTTTAGTCTACGTTTACTGTGTTTTGACACATATGTGTGACACTTGAAAGAAGAAAATGTATTGAGCTTTCTTTCCTATTTAGATACTGAAAACAGACATTGTATTTGATGTTGGAAAAAGTTTGAATCCTGCTATTGACGTCGGTCAAATTGAAGGGGGATTTGTGCAGGTCAGCTGAATACTCTTAAAGTTTTCAAAAACTGTTACATTAATTCATTTGTTATCTTCTATTGATATTTGTCGAGGTTCAATTTCATGATTACCAATTTAATTAGCGGACACTGACAGAAAAAAATATGTCAAACTTGATAAATTACATTAACTTTTTTCACGTTAAAAACAACATATTAAAAGACATGATAGAATAATCACTGAAACAAATCAGTTACTTGAAATACCTAATATCTCAAGAAGTTATCATATTAAAAAGGGTTGTGGTATGATGACTTCCGAGCAAGTGACGGTAAATCCAGAGGCAGGCCTTATTGAAGCTTGTGGACCAATCAACTATAAAATCCCCGGAATCAGAAACATTCCGAAAGATTTCAAAGTGACGTTACTTAAAGAAGCAGCGGGAGGCAATAAAGAAGTGTACTCATCAAAGGTGTGTCAATAAGTAATGTCAGACAGCTGGCGAATATAATCATTGTTCTTCTGGGCATTTGAAAACATGCATTTGCATGTATACATGTATTATTTTTCCTATTGAATCTTTCTTTTATTAATATTCACGCCTATGATTTTGTGTGATATTATACTGAATTGTCTGTGGAATATTTTTGTTCACTCGATCTTGACAAGAAGCACATGGCGAATTTGACCGGTAGACAGGGAATGCTTAATCCTAAATGGCACCTGATCTTACCTCGGGTGTTTTTAGAGTTCCGTATTTGCTCTGCTTCAAAATTTATATTGTTTAAATGGAATTCAAAACTTCATTACGATTCGTTTTCTTCATATTTTATTCATTGATATATGGGGATGGAAATATCACCACAGAAAGGGTCTTTACATGATGACCCTAACTGATCACACTATTTTTTTTCTACTTAAGGGTATCGGGGAGCCACCACTATTGCTGGCGGTATCTCTACACCTCGCTCTCAGAGAGGCTGTCCTAGCAGCACGTGCGGCGAATGGGTTATCTGGTAACTACAGACTGGAATGTCCAGCAACTCCAGAGAGAATCCGAATGGCATGCGCAGGACCAATTGTTCACAAGGTTTTCAAACTTCGCTAACTAGCGCTTTGAATATGCCCCAGTTTACAATTAAATCTTCTCTTTTGGCATCATTTTAAAACAACTTAAAATAGCTGTATTGAAAAATTTAAAAGAGTAAAAACTTTTATTAATTTTAATTCATTTCAGTGCCATGATGTAAAAGAAGAAAGGAAAGTGATTCAAGTATAAGCTAGTTGGCTGTCCTGACTGATGTGGAGTAAACAGCATCTATAATTCTATAATTATATTTGTTCTTCAAATTACTCTCTACTAGGCTATTATTGCTTATCAATAAGAGTACATTTATTTTGATATTCAGAATTAATAACACATGAGAGTTTTTTTTTCTGGTTTGAGCTTTTAAAAACAAACAAACTAGGCCAAAAGGCATGGAAGAAGTGAGAAGACAAATATAATGTGATGGATCACGTGACTTAGTATTTTAAAGCATGATAAGTGCAAATTGTGTGGTCATCTCTACTATGACTTTAAGATTACTTATCTGAGTTGACTTATACTGATTGATTGTATTAGATTGCAATAAAGTGATTAAGATGTGTATAATGTATATCAAGTGAATTTGTGAGATTCTTCATTAAGTCAATATTTATTATTATAGTACATGCCTTTTGCATGGATATGATTATTTGAATTTGAACCAGCAAATTAAAAAGAATGCAATCAGAAAATTTTAGCTGTAGAATCTGTTTTAAAAATGTCATGTATATTTTTGTTCACAGTAGGAAATAAGGGTATTTAAATATTAAAATTGTGCTCTGATGTTATTCAAAAATGCTTAAGTACCTTAATTGTTACAGCAAAACTCGGTTATAACGAAGTCGCTGG